ATGGGGGTCACTAGGGCAGCGGGAGATTCCCCAGTACACCCAGGGGCGGCAAAATGACCCGGCACAGCGGAGACAGGCGCCAGCCTTTTGCAGACAAGTCCCGGGCGGCTCTCCACTCGCAACTTGAACTTGGGGTGGGGGCAGGGACGTGACACTTGGGACCTTCCTCCAGGCCCCAGGACTCCCGGGCCCGCCCCTTCGGGGAGCGGGGCGTGCAGAGCCCCCGCACCTCCCACCCCCGCACCAGCCGCGAGCGGGGGCAGCGAGGCCGTGGGGAGGAGCGCCCGGCGGGTTTAATTTCCTCTGTTTTCCCTGCACTCACGCCCCCTCCTGGCGTCCCCGCATCACCTCGCGCCGCCGCCGCCCTCAATCCGCGGCCGCCGCCGTCTGGAGGCGGCGATGACTCAGGCTTTTGCGAGGTCTCGCCTGGGGAGCAGCCCCGAACACCGGGGTGCGTGTCTTCAACCGTCCTTTTTTCTGAGCTTAGCAACACCGAGAGGCAGGTTCTGCCTCCAGCAATGACTTCTCTCTGCCTCAGTTTCCTCATCTGCAAAGTGGGTGGTTGTGAAGACCGTGGACCTAATATGTGTCAAGGGCTCCAGTGTCCTGAGAATCAAGTGAAAGATATATTGAGCATCTGTGTCCCAGGCACTGTGCACAACAAACAAAATGCCTACCTTTGTGTAGCTGAGCATCCCGTGGGGTGATCAGATAAGAAATAGGAAAACACAAGTAAAATAAGACACCGGGGTTCGGGTGGGGCAGAGAAATAAATAGGGAGTAAGCTTTAAACAGGGTGGTTGGGGAAAGTGGCGTTTGAACAGAGACCTGAATAAGGCGTGGGAGGGAGCTATTTGGAGATCTGAGGGAAGAGTTCCAGGCAGTGGAACAGCAAGTGCGAAGGTCCTAGGCAGGAGCATAAGTGTTCAAGGAACAGGGAGGAGGCCATTGTGGTTGGAGCAGAGTGAGCTGGGGCAGAGTGGAGGAGAGATGGTGCAGGATGTCTGGGATTGGCGTTTCAAAACTGTTATTATTTGCAACTGATAATAAGCTTTAAAAAATGAGATGTGTCCTTGCCTACTTGTACTACAGCTTGCATTTATGAGTGCTGAACACTGTGCAGATGTGCTTGCTGAACAGTTGTTGCAACCTCCCATGAAAAGTGCAGTGACTTCTCTATTTACAGGTGAGGAGACTGGACTCAGAGAGGAGAGAGGACCAGCTCAAGGTGACCCAGCAGGTAAATGAGGGCCCAGGATTTGAACCCAGGTCTGATTTTAGATTCCAAAACCACTGGGCCCCAGGCCTCCTGGCTTAGAGAATTTGGAACTCAGTGATACTCTCACTCACCAGCGGTGCTGTAGGAAACTGCCCTAGCTCCTTTCAGCCAAGCTTCTGTAAGGAATGGTCTTCACTCACATCTGCCCTTGCTGTCTCTACTTCCTCACCTCCCACCTCCTCCATCATTCCAAGACTCCTCTCACCAAAGTGGCTAATGACCATCCAGTTTGCCAGTGCTTCACACAAGCCCTCATTTAGTCACTCTCACAGGTTAGTCTTCATGAATCATTCCCTCCTTCTTGAAAGTCACTTGTTCCTTGATTTCAGACACCTTATTTCTAGCTCTGCCCCTCTTCTCTAGCTGCACCATCACTGTCTCCTGACTTCTCCCTAAATATTTATATCTTCCAGGGCTTTTTCGTAGGTCCTTAGTCTCTCTCACTCTGTACACTTAGTCTAGACCATCATGCCAGGGTTTTGGTTCCATCTGGCCTCAGGGCCTTTGCACTTGCTGTCCTTTACCCAGAACACTATTACCACAGATACACATATGGTTTGCTCATTTGCTTCATTTATATCTCTGTTCTATCATTGTGAGGGTAAGATACAGGCCCTACCCTTCTCCAGAAAACTACATTTCCCAGGTTCCTTTGCACACTGGCTTCCTGTTAAGCTCATCCAATGGGAGGCAATGGAGGGAGATTGGAGAGTGGGGAGGAAGGAAGAAGCTGGGGTATTTCTCTTCTCTCTTTCAGCTTGGGGGGGGGGGTTCTGACAGTGGTTACACCCCCTCCGTGGTGCCAGCTCCCACACAGAGCCCCTTTCTCGTCACACCACCCTTTGTCATGTCCGTCTAACAGCTTTGTATTAGGGCTTATTGCTGGATTCCCTGATCATTCCATCAGCTTGACTTAACTTTTCCATCTCACACTCAAATAGGTTCTTGTATTAAATCCCCTCTCTTTGAAACCCTAGGGTAGTTAGTTTCCCTGACTGGATTCTGAGTAATATGGACATTATAGACCTTCCCTGGCCACCTCATCTACAACAGCAGCCCCCCCCCCCC